AGATTAAGTCAAGATTCAAAGAAATTAAAACAGCTTGTCATGTGTGTTAAATGAGCTGGATCTTAAACCTTGGTTTATCTCAACTCTTTCCATTATATATACATAGCTGTTCCACATATTGGGAATTATAAATAGGGAACAAAACAATTGCTAATATCAAGGAATTTACAATTTTGTAAAAATGATATGCAAAGAACTATAATGCATTACTGTAATAAGTGCAAAACTATAACAAGTGCAAAAACGTGTTAAGTGCTATAAGACATAGGAAAGTACAATGTCTTCTTGCTTAGGAGTTTGGGAAAGGCTTTGTGGAGAATGGATTTGGATTGATCCTTTGGAGATGGGCAAAATTTAAAGAAAAAAATGAGTAAAGAAAGGGTATTCTGGAAGAGGGAAGGACGTTAGAAAAGGCATATCTGCTTTAGATAAAACAAGCTATGCATGAAGATAAAGACAGTGCTGTGAAGGTAGAATTGAGCCAGACCACAATAGGTCTTATTTGGGCATCTGAATTTAATTCTGCAGTCAACAGGGGAAGAAAAGAAACTCAACATGGGGATAATGATGAGGAGGGTGTTGCAGGCAGAGATCACTGGGCTGAACTCCAATCGTGGCAGCAGGCGCAGGAAAGGGAAGAATTTAAGACATTCTATAGGTGGAATCAAAGGAATTTTTGATAGCTGGGGAGAAAGCAGGTAGAAGAGTGGGGAAGCATGAATAATTCTAAGGCTTTCATTCCAGTGAAGAAAGAATGAAGAGAACATATTATTGCTGTTGTACTTATTCCCCAGACAGAGGGAAGTGGGGATTGAAGCGGAGAGGCATTGTATTAAAAAAGATGAATCTGGCCCTGGCCAGTTTGGCTCAGCCGTTAGAGCATTGGCCCGCGGACCATAGAGGGTTTGGTTCCTGCTTAGGGCACATACCTTGGTTGCAGTTTGTCCCTGGCATGGTTGGGGTCGGGTGGGTGGCAACCACTCAATGTCTCTCTCTCTCAAGTTAAGTGCAAAAAATGTACTTAGGTGAGGATAAAAAAAAAAAGATGAATCTGATTTTGGAATAAACTCAGATTCTATCACTATCTTTCATATCTGTCCTTCCTTTTCCTCTAAGTCCCATTCCTCCATGTGTTCAATTCCTCTATGTGAAACTGGGTTTTAAAATAACTAGCAGGTACTCAATGTGCCTTGAAATTCCTTACAAATTAACATAGTTGGACACTTAGAACTGTGTATGTACCAAACTTCTGTGAACATAGCGGGCAACAAAAACCATTAGAAGAAAGATGCATAGGAGTAAATTCTAGGTCCTACAGAAACCTTCCCTCAGAAAAATTTTTATTTTATATTATTTTTCTTTTTTTTACCCTCACCTGAGGTCATTTTTTGATATTTTGTTCAGATAGAGTGGGAGGGGGGAGAGAGGGAGAGAGAAACATTGATGTGAAAGGGACACATTGAGTGGCTGCCACCCGCATGACCCAACCAGGGTCGGGGACAAACTGCAACTGAGGTACATGCCCTTAGCGGGAACCGAACCCAGGTCTCTCTGGACTGCAGGCCGACGCTCTAACCACTGAGCAAAACTGGCCAGGGCTTATATTATTTTTCATTGTGAATACTATTTACTCACGACAAAGGCTGTAGCATTCTACAGTTTAAAGAATAGACCATGATTATTGTGGAGTACAGTGAAATGATCACTTCCCCTGAACTCAACACTATTTCCATTCTTACCACTGCAGTTAGCCTGGCTTTTAATTTTTTCAGTAGATCTCATCTTACAGATGTCTATTGAGCTTTCTAATTGCTAAAATCCTAGACAAATCTCATAACAAGGTTCTTTAAAGAAAAAATAAGATACTGGTTAAGTAACAAGCTACATTTTTCCCCCTCTTCTTGTTCATGTACTCATAATTGGCAATTATTTAGGGTTTTTGTAAATATCTAAACTAAAAATAAATTGAGCCTCACTAGTGTTTTAAAGAGTATATCAACTATTTACTATTTGTTAAGTGGCAGTTAACAGTTACTATAATAAATTATATTTTGTTTTTCAAATCCTAGTGAATAGTCTCAATCCTAAATCGACAGAGATTTCATTACTCTCTGAATTTCAGCTGATGGTCATTATAGGTCAAAGTTTCATGTTTTGTAAATTGGCATTCTAATACACAGCCAAGATGTGGAATGACTATCAACATAAAACTATAAATTAGCTCACAATTTTAAAGCTGTCAAGGACCTCATAGTTTGGTTAGTGCAGAGTTCCTTAACCTCAGTACTACTGACCTTTTGGGTAAAAGAATCCTTTTTTATGTGTGTGTGTGTGTGTGCCTCGACTGTGCATTTTAGGATGTGTGCAGCATCTCAGGCCTATACCAACAGATACCCATAATACCTGCTTTTGCAGGTACCCATAATACCAACAGATACCCATAATACCTGCTCCTTGCCCAGTGGTGAAAACCAAAAATGTCTCCACACTGCCAAATGTCCTCTGGTGGAGTTTGGGGGCAAATTTACTCTTGGTTGAAAACCACTCAATTGGACTAATCCAATTACCCCTATGGCAAAACTGAAAGAAAAAAGTTTGGGACTTTGAAAGCTTAAAAGAAAAGTTTTGTACTTAGGGTCATACAGCTAGTGGAGAAACTAGCACTAGAACCTATTACTAGTCAAGGTTCCTCTTCCAGGATTATTATACCAACCAGAAGGGGTATAAACGGATATTGCTAGCATTGTGTGAACTGACATCAAGTCTTCAGTAATTTTGCACATATTCAGTCATCACACACACACACACCACACACATCCCCCAAAACAAAACCCAGAAAATGCCAAGTCAGGCAAAATGCTTTTTTCCCCACGAGAAACTCTTTCTAAATGTTCCTGTGATCTGGTTATGACAGCCAAACTGAACTGTCATCTTCACACCTATAAACAGTTCAGGCTTACTTGTTGGTGAGTGGCAGGATGTTTGGTATGAAAACAAAAATCCAGCCTGGTCAGTTTGGCTCAGCAGTTAGAGGGTCAGTCTCTAGATCAGAGTCCCAGGTTTGGTTCCCACTAAGGGAATGTACCTCGGTTGCAATTTGACCCCCGCCCAAATTAGGGTTGTGTGGGTGGCAACTACTCAATGTGTTTCTCTCACATAGATGTTTCTCTCTCTTACTCCCTCTCTCCTTCCTGCTCTATCTGAAGATAAATGCAAAAATGTCCTCAGGTGAGGATAAAAAAAGAAAACAAAAATCCAGGAGTTTTTTTTTTTTATCTCACTAGACACTAACTAAATCTAGACTTTCAAATTGCCCTCACTAAGACTTAATAGAATATCATCTGGTTGCAATGAGTTTCTAATTTCCATTTTTAGTGAAAGAAATTTATACAAAGTGCTTTAAAAATGTTTAAAGAAATTTATATTTTACTGCTTTGTTATTCCTCCAAAGTGAAAGGTGTAAACGTTTACAGGAAAGCATACAAAAATAGAATATATCATGGAAGAGGATAAAAATATATATATTTATGAGGTTATTATATTTAATGGTGTCCCTCCAGAAGAAAGGAACTATTCTAAGATATTCTGGCTTCCACCATCTTTCACTCTGGAGACAAAAAGCAACATACACTAAATATTACAAGTTAATTATTAAAATGCAGATGGCTAAATGTTTTACTGAGATCTTCTGCAGTGGGATCACACTCCATCTAAAATCATTTCCAAAACTGCCTTACAACAGCCTTATCTCAGTTTGGAATAAGCAGGCTGTTGGCAGGTAGTCTTGTAACTATAAACATCTCTTAGACTGAAACAAGAAACAGCCCTACATGTTGGAGGACATGTAGTGGTGAGAACTGAACACACTCTCCCAACCCCCTGCCCAATTTTAACCGTGGCCGGTAGCAGCCTAAGGTGGAGTCCCTGGGGTGACCTGTGCCTCCTGAGCTCCTTCGGAAAAGCTCGGCTGTCCAAAGCCATTTACTGTTTGCTCCGGCCAACACCGGATGATGGGCTCCTGGGGTTTTTTTGTTTTAATTTGATGTTTTAACTTTATTTTTATTGATGAATTCAGAGTGCTCCTGACCTCTTTTTAAGAGTACTTACAAAAAGGGGCTTTCAACGGGGCCGCCTTCCTCTGGCCCGGGAAGGTGTGTGTGTGTCTCCTACAATTCGGGGTTCTCTCTCAAGGACTGAGCGGCACCCCTTGGCAATGCAACCGTCGGGAAACTCAGGCCTGGTGCCCGTCCCGGGGGCGGGGAGAACCCGAACTTCCCAAAGCCGGCAAGCGGACACGGCTAACTGCACCCCCCAACCGCCCTGGCACTGCCACTGCCCCGGGCCCCCGCCCCCACGGCTGCCTTCCCCGTCCGGGCGCCGTCGGTCTGCAGGAGCCCAGCGGCCTCGGCCCCGCCGGTCGTCACTGCCGTCTCCACCGCTCTGACGTCCGGCTGTCCCCTGGACGCTGGCAGGTCCCGAGCGAGGCTCAGGCCGCTGTCGACAAGGCCGGGCGATCTTAGCAGCGTGTTTCAACAGGGCGTTCGCCTCAACACGCCCCAGGGACCCCCCTAAACCCTCTCCCCTCTTTCCGTCTCCCGGGCTCTGGCAACCTACGCCCCCCCGCGGCTGCCTCCTCGCCCCCAATCCCTGACTCCCTCCTCCCTGCGGATCCTGAGTGACGCTTCTATTTCCGGGGTGTCGGGTTTCACCCCCGGCTCGGGCCTTTCAGCTCCTCCGCTGTCCCCTCAACCTTGGGGCCTCCCCGAGGCCGCTTCCGCCCTGACACTCGGGTCCACGGGCTCCTGCGCCGGCCGGGCGGCCCCTTCCCTCCGCTCTCCCGCGGCGGCCTGGCGGGCGGCGGGCGAGGGGGGCGGAGGGCCGGCCGGCCATGGTGCTCGCTCGGGGCGCGCCGGGCGGGCTGAGCGCGCAGGGCCTTCACTGGGCCGCGGAGTCGAGGGGCTGAAGGCGGGGCCGCCCCCGCCGCCGGGGCGGGAACTCACCTTCTTTGAGGCAGGGGCGGGCGTCTACAACTACTGTCCCGCTCCCCGCCAACGCCGCCGGCCGGGGGTAGGCCAGGTGGAGGAGGCGGAGAGGCAGGAACAACCGCTGCCGCCACCGCCGCCTCCGCCGCCGAGCAGGCGTGGGGGGAGGAGGAGGCGGAGACCGGGATTCCTGAGGGGAAGTCGCCGCCACCATCGGCGGCTGACTGACGGGCGCCGGCGCCATGACGGAGAGGCCCTACGGCGCCTGCGCTGCTCGCCCCGCCCGGAAAGCCCCCGTTGGCCCCGCCTTCCTGTTTGCTCCGCCCCTTCGCCCGCCTTCTCTGGGGCTCCGCTCCAATCTGGCTCAGCCTCCTGGTTCCTTACGGACCCTCCGCCTACCCCTGCTGGAAAGTAAAGCACGTGGGGCCTCTCACCTTCCTGAGCGGGAATCTAAAACCGGCTGAGAAGAAAAGTGGAATCTACGGATTCTGCCTCCCGAGCTTCCGAAGAATAACAGTAGCTTCTGCTCAATCTTTCTTTCCTTTGCTAGGGCCTTTCGTACACAGAGCAGACTAAACAAAGTCCTTGGTCACCATACCCTGTCATCGTTGGTTCATAAATGATCTCTCTCCCTCTCCTCTTTCCCTTCCTCTCTGTCAAATATGTGTGTATATCCCTATGTGCATATACACACATCCATCGCATCGCCTTATTCCCTACCTCCCAAAGAAATCACTGCCCTGGTTTGTAGTCACCATTTTCCTACATATGTTTGTTGATCACATATCCATGTAGCTTAAAAAATTTTGAATTGTTGTTGTTTTTTAAATTAGCAATGATCGCGCCTCGGATAAACCTCATTGGCTACGATGCCACTGTGCAAAGCTTTGAATTGTTTTTGAGTTTCATAAGATTTATATCTTTCCCTGTGCAGTTCTGGGACTTGTTTCGCTCAACATTCTGAGGTTCTTCCAAGCTGTAGTATGTAAGTGTTATTTATTCGTTTCATTGCTGTACAGTATTCTACCCATTTTCTTGATGGGCATGTCTCCTGGTGCACTGGGCAAGTGAGTCTTGGGTATCCTCTCCTGTCACACTGCCATTGTGTAATTTCAGCTTCCCTCCAGCTTTTGTTAGAACCAGGGCAGAAGCTGCTTAACTGGTATCCTTCCTCTCACCTCAGCACTCAAATCTACTGCCCATACTGCCGCCAAAGGGTTCTATCTAGAAGTCATGACTGGCTCACATTGTCTGTTGGAGAAGTCAAAAGTGAATACTATCAAGCTTCTGTGCACTTCCTTGATCTCATTATCTTCCTAGTGCCTTCACTTCCCCACCTTGCTTTCACTTTATGATCCAGCAACGTTAAACCTTTACGGATGCCTGTAAATACCAAGCTGTTGCACAAATGCAACTTAACTATACACGCTGCTCCTTCTTCCTGGAATGTCCTCTCCCTACTCTCTAGTGAACTTCTTCCTTCAGAAGTAAATACTATCTTGAATTCAGCATTTCTCATTCTCATACATTTCTGTAAACTTTTACTACTTATGTATCCCTAAGTAAAATGAAGTATTGCTTTGCATGATACAAAACTTTACATAAATGTTATTATACATGCTGTTTATTCCTTTGCAATTTGCTTTTATCACTCACCACTTTTTTACATTAATATATGCTGAGATGTGAGTTTCTAATTCATTCACTTTTACGGCTCAATAACAGTCCACTGTGTGACACTATGAGCTGTCCACTCTTGTATCAATAGACATTGAGTTTGTTTCCCATTTTTGCTTTTACAGATAGTGCTGCTCTAATGATCTTGTGGAATCTCTCTGTGCATGTATGTGAGAGCTTCTCTGGGCTTTATAGTTAGGAGATGTTGCTTTTTCACAAGGAGGCCTTAATAATACCCACCTCAAAGGGTGTTCTGAAAGCATATGAAGTATTGTAAGTAAAGGATAATTTTAAGCATTCAAATGATTATTATTGTTCTTAGAAGAGCTTTGAAATGTATCTGAAACACTAGGACATAAAAGGCAATAGTCTGGTCCCAGAATGATAAACAGACGTGTAATATCTTTGCTCCCTCATACCTAACATTGTAGTTGTCTGCATATGTCATACTGTTTCTTTACCTCCACATCTCTGCTCAAGCCGCTGTGTCCTTGGGCCTGAAATGATCTCCTCCAGTCTGGTTCTCCCCCTCCCTACTTATCTTCATTGGCCACTTCTTCTCTGAAGCCTTCCCTGGATACTCTTTCCCCTTTACCTCCTATATCTCTCGTTATCTTTATGTTCTCCCATAGTCCTCTGTAAATGGTCAGTGTCTGGAAGATGGGCTATATTTCATTCATCTTTGTATCAAGGCACTCGCTGAGCATAGTGCCTGATACATGTACTGATAAATGTGTGTGGAATGAATGAATGTAGGAATTTTAGGAGGAAAGCAATTGGTAGCTAAGGATTTATTAGAACCAAAGTAAGAAAGATGGAAGCAAGCATGATATTTTAGTAAGAACACAGAGACCAGAGAGTGTGTCAAGTTTTGTCAGTGATGTATTATACAGATATAATGGACTGTTAACAAGGGAACCTGCTTCTGTCCTCCTGGGATGTGAAAGCTACACAAGTACTTCTTCCTTGAACTTGTCACTCACAGTGATTTTGAAATGAGTGGGTGAATCAGTCAGTGAATGTACTTGGAGCAGTGAGCTCCTCCTGGTCTATTTAACATTGCCAGGCATTAAGCTATTATTATTATAAAGCAGGGTTTGGCAAATATTTTCTATAAAAGGCCAGATAGTGAATAGTTGCATCTTAGTGGGCTATGTGGTTTTTGTTGCAAATATTAACTCTGCTGTTGTAGTGTGAAGGAAACAATAGAAAACATATAAACAAGTGACTATGCCTGTTTCCTAATAAAATTTTATTTATGGTCATTGAAATTTGAATTTCATATAATTTTCATGTGTCGCAAAATGATCTTATTTTGATTTCCTCCCCACACCCATTAAAGGAGGTACTAACCATACGTAGTTCACCAGCCCAAAGGAACCTTGTTGACCCCTGGCCTAAATGGACCTTATCTCCTGGTACAAAGGAGTTCACAACCTGTGATAAAAGGCTGTTCTTTTACTAATCAGGCCTTAGAAAAGATTTAAAATCTTGCAGCTCTCTTGATTTGTCACTAGATGGTGGTCCCTGCAGGTGTGGGGATCAGCCAGTGGGTCTTTCAACTGAAGGGATGATTGGAGTTTTTTCCAGGGTAGGATAGATCAGTTGCCGCAGTATTAATATAGGCATACAAACGTCCTAGGGATTCAAAATGTATCACAAATCATCACTCTGGGTTTCCTTCACACTTAGTTGAACATATTACCTGAATTACAACATATCCAACTGAAGGGACTGTAACCACTTTCAAGTCCTGAAATTATTTGCTTCAAAGACTCAGAACAATAATATGAATATAGGTTATGGTTAAAGATTTGGGAGCTTATAGTGAGAGGATACTTGAAACCCATGTCTAATCTTGTGATGATAACTCTCTCCAAAACAACCCTCACTCTTGGCCTCAGGTCATCTTCTTCTACCCTTGAGGAGGCCTGGCATTACCCTTGCATATCTTGCAACATTTGCCTCACACCTTCTTTGGGGTGTGGGAGTACTCAGTAGCCATAGTAATGTCCTTGGCATGTGTGTGTGGGCTGAGATGGGAGGGAAATTCAGTTGAAAAGAGGTAGTTAGAAAAGAAGTAGTTATTATTATCATCCCCTTAGTTGGAATTGCCCAGGCCAGCCCTCTCTCCTGGACCAGGAATCTGTTGGCTTGAGCTGTTTCATTGTCTTCCTTTCTCAACACCCTTCTTTATCCCAACACACAAAAGAAAGAGACTGGATGGTTATTAAAATAATTAACAATGGAGCCCTGGCCAATGTGGGTCAGTGGTTAGAGAGTCGGCCTGAGGACCAAAGGGTCATAGGTTTGATTCTTGGTCAAGGGCACATACCTGGGTTGCAGGTTTGATCCCCGGCCCTGGTTGGGATAATTGATGTGTCTCTCTCACATTGATGTTTCTGTCTCTGTCTCTGTCTCTGTCTCTCCCTCCCCTTCTAGTCTCTCTAAAATTCAATGGAAAAATTATCCTTGGGCGAGGATTAGAAACAAATATTAACAATGGAACAAGTCCTCATCTTCCTGGAGAGGAAATGTGCTCAACAGAAACTTGCTCGTGAAGGTCTGTGAAGCTCGTCTACAATCTTAACCACTACAGTACATGGTCACATGGTTATGTCCACTCTGGCAACCTGGTGTGATCTCTCAGGAAATGCAGAATGAATCTACTTCTTCCATACTTCAGTGTATGACATTGAAGAAAGCTCTCACGTCCTTCCCGCACCCTCCATTTACACAATGGAATACTACGTGGCTGTAAAAAAGAAGGAAATCTTACCATTTGCAACAGCATGAATGGACCTGGAGATTATTATACTAAGTAAAATAAGCCAGTCAGAGAAAGACGAATACCATATGATCTCACTTATATGTGGAATCTAATGAACAAAATAATCAGATGAACAAAATAGAACCAGAGGCATGGATACATGGAAAAGACTGACAGGGGAGGGGGGAGGGGAGACTAGATGAAAGAAGGTGAAGGGATTAGCCAAAAACATGTATACATAACCCATGGACACAGCAGTGTGGTGAAGGCTAGAAGGAAAGTGGGGTGGGGACTAGGTGGAGGTGGGCAAAGGTGGGGGTGGGGGTAGAGAATGGGGACAAAAAGCTTTGCTTGGGGCGATGGCCACATGATGCAGTGCGCAGATGATGTTTTATTGAGTTGTACACTTGAAAACTATATGGTTTTGCAAATCAATGTCATCCCAGTAAAACCAATATAAAAAATCCTTTTAAAACTCTAGATGTGCTTTTCCTGATGACCAAGATCAACAATTCTCAACGGTGGCAAATTCCACCACTTAGGGGGCACCTTAGAAATGTGAGGGGAACTTTCGGTTGTCACAGTCCTTGTGAGGAGCAGCTGGCATATGGTGGGGAGGGTCAGGGCCACTAAGAAAGGTCTGGATTCCAGTGTGTGTGAGGGAAACTGGAGAGGATGGACAATGGGGGCAGATGAGCAACAAAAAAAACCTTACATAGGATTTGTGTTGATAAGCAACATAGCAGGGCCCTGTGTCCCCTCCCCCATGACCACCAACAGCCTGATAACTAGTGCCAACTCCCCTCGTCTCGTTGATCTTGGACAGAGACGCTCGATATCTTGGGGAGCAAGGGACAGCCTGACACGGTGACGAATCTTTGCCCATCCTGCACAATCTCAAAGATCCAGCTGCTCCTACCAGGCAGGCAAAAATCCTGTTTATAATGATCCGAGTCTAGGATTCTGTCTTATATTTCATTATAGAGTAGCTTTTGTAAAGTTTTAAAATTCTCAACATTTCCCAGGAAATCAACTTCTTGTTAATTGAAGGAAGGTTATACTTTTATTTCTTCAGAACTTGACTAAGAGTCATTCACCATTTCAGAAAATCACGTCACACACAACAATGCCCTGTGTGGTGTTTGTGTCCCCAAAACCAACTTACATTTTAAGCTCTCAGCTATTACAAGGATTCTACTTAGGAGCAAACATCTGACTTTATCACATTTTCTAGTGTAGTTGTCCCCAAGTACATGCATAATGAGCACACTGACATATTTAATTTACAGTGAATATATATTATTTTATTATAAGATAACTCATGATATTTCTCCCTTATTAGGTTAGGTTAGTGTCTTAGTTCATTTAGGTGGCCATAACAAAATACCACAGACTGGGTAGCTTATAAACAACAGAAATTTATTTCTCGCAGTTCTGGAAGCTGGATGTCCTAAATTGGGGTCCCAGCAGGTCTGGTGAAGCCCTTTTCTGGATAGCAGATTTCCCATCGTGTCCTCATGTGGTGGAAGAGACGTAGAAACAATCATCCTTGTTTTACAGCTACTCTCTCCAAGTTGTAGTGGGAGCTCAGAATTCAAATGCAGATCTGACTCAGAAGCTAGTAGTTGAGAATTACCACACTCACAGATCCAGAGCACAGGGTTCCCAGAAACAGATGCATCCCAGAAACTACAAATATTACCTGGGACATAAGCCATAGCCCTAGGTCAGCAAGTGTTTTTCTTTTCCATCTTTAGCATCGTTTCTCCAGTGCCTTCACTCCTGGGTAAGAAGCACAGAGCACATTGGTATTTTCCTGGCAGTAAATGTGTGTTGAAGGAATATTTGATAGAAATAAGGGTTTTTCTTTTCAAGGCTTGCCTCCTCTCATACAGCCTGCACCCAGCACACCTGCATTATCAGGGACTTCCCAGACCTCTATGCCCTGGTGGGGTGCTGTGGGAACCCCAGGTAATAATGGAGAAGAGGGATGCCCCTTGGGGCCTAAATAGTACTGTTCTGTGTATGCCAAAGGGGCAGTTCGGTGTCTGCCATCCACTTGTAGCTTTCTGAAAACTCCACCGTGGGGGAGGGAGCAGGAGGAGAAGAGGCCACCGCGCTCGAGAAGGCGTAAGTCTGACCGATGAAGGGTCCCAGAGCAGCAGGCCCCACCTCTTCTCCTGGACCATTTCAGCTGTCTACTTGGAGTGACAGAGACATCTGGATGCTAAAAATACCTCACTGCACAAGCGCCCCCTCTTCCAGCTAACGCTGAACACGACAGCCATCCAAGACTGAGCTTTTCAAGTTTCGGACCCATTCCCAGAGCCACACCAGCCTATGGTCATTTTCTGCTCTGTCAAGCTTTGCTGGGTGATGAAGGAGACCCTCCCCTGTCACTGTCCTCTTGTCTGCCTCCCCTCCAGGAGAAGTGGCAGAGGGGGAGGTGAGAGCCCAGTGACCAGCGGGGGTGGGGAAGGGGAGGTGGCCTGTCCATTTATAGGCTTGCTCTTTGGGATAGTGAAGGTGCTAAAATAGCAGTGACAAGAGACTTGGCTCAGTGTTAAATATCTGCGGTGCGGCCTGAAAGACTGTGAGATGACAATAGGGGAAATGGAGAACGTGGAGGTCTTCACTTCCGAAGGCAAAGGCCGGGGTCTGAAGGCCACCAAGGAGTTCTGGGCGGCGGACGTCATCTTTGCCGAGCGGGCTTATTCCGCGGTGGTTTTTGACAGGTATGAGATGTGGGGAGTCGCCTTCTTTTCTCCTGTTGGTTTGGCCGGTGCCAAACTCTGAAATACTTTGCTCTCAAAATCACCAGGAAAGGGATAACATCCATGGATCATTCAGAACAAAATGGCCTTTCTGCCTACTGTTTTATGACAACTTTTTATGCAAAGACTCATTGCCAGTGTGATTTGCGGGGGTCCCTGGGGGAATCGAGAACGCGAGCAGCGGCTTTGGGGCACTTTCTTACACCGCCAGTGAACTTGGCTGAGGGGGGTGCTGGGAGGTGGGAAAGGAGTGGAAAAGTGGGTGTGGTGCTGTAGAAAATACTGTCTTGCAGAAGGCTCCTAACTGATGAGACTTTTATTTTTAAAACAAAATTTTTTTATTGATATTAGAGAGAGAGAGGTAGAAACATCGATGAGAGAAAACATCGACTGGCACCTTCTGCATGCCCCCCATTGGGGATCAGGCCCACAATCTGGGCATGTGCCCTGACTGGGAATCGAACCAGCGATCTCTTAGTTCATGGGTTGACGCTCAACCACTGAGCCACACCAGCCAGGCTAATTGATGAGACTTTCAGAAAGGAATTGTAAACACACAAATAACACTGGAATGCGTTTACCTTTGAAAAATTAGAATATCATAGCGAAGCTGGAATTCCTTGTTACCTTTCCCACCTCTAGTTCCAGTCCCCTCTATCTTTCCCCAGAGGTAACCCCAGTTATGATTTTAATGTGTTTCCTTCTAGAATGTTCTTGTACTATAGCATACATATATCTGCACTTATCAAAATGTACAGCTGTGTGTGTGTGTGTAGTTCGTCTATTATTTTTTTTTTACAGAAATGGTATCATCCCTCAGATGTCATTCTAGAACTGGCTCTTTTCACGTAATACGTTTTTGACATTTATTCTTATGGGAACTGTAAGTCTATAGGTACTTCTTTTAACTCCTCAAAGGTCTATTGCTTTTGCCCACATGTAGACATATCCATGTTGATTCATATGCTATCTGTATCACCAGTTTTAACAGCTGTAAATATTCCACCCTGTAAATATGTGAAACTTGATTTACCCATTCCCCTTTTGAAAGATATTTGGGGTTTCCACTTTTTCATGGAAACTAACGGCCCTGTGATGAAAAGTCCTTGACGGCGTCCGCCGGTGCACGTGCGATGCTTCTCCAGGACTGTGGCTAGAACAGGACTGTGGTGCCGTCCGGCATGCTGTGTTCAGCTTCAACAGGCTCTCCAGAGGGACCTGTTCCATGTACAGTCCCACTTCCCCACAGCCCCGTCCACCCTCAACCACTACGCTTTCAGGAGTCTCGTGCTGTACTGACTGAGCTACCCGGGTGACATCTCACACTTTTTTTTTGTTTTTATAATGCAAAACCAGGATTATTTGTACACACACTGATAAAGGAAAGCAGTCTTCTGTCAAATGGAGAAGATTAAGATTCTTAAGTAGCTGATTTTGGGACCTACTACAATGGGAAGACTTGTTTTGTTGCCTTCAGATGTCTGTCTCTTTACCTGACACTTGAGCAGCTTTTTAAAAGGGTCTTCCTCCTGGGCCTGCTTTTCTAATCCCTTACGATATGCAAGCTGTTGTTCCAGGTAGTTTGTGTTCCTCTTTTGTTTGTCCAGGAACTTTCCCATGAAGTGTAAGAGATCAGTTTCCTCGTTGGCAGACGCCATGGTCTTCAGGTTTAGCAGGAGGTTGGTTATCTCGTTCTCCAACTCCAGAGCGGACTCTAGAGCTTGTACTCCCGCTCCCCAGTTATCTGTGTCAGGCCTCTTCATCACCGGAAGGCAGATTTTACTCACGTTTTCTTAGATATCTTAGGAATTGCTTTGCATGTTCCTTCTTCACCTCAGCTTGGTCTTCAAAGAATGCAGCAAAAAAGAGGTGCTCCCGTGTCTTTGTTGTGGCCCTGGGATGCCATCTCAGCAAGAGAAAACCAGGCATAAACTGTGCTCGACACCTCACACTTTTAAAGTCATATTAAATCTTTATTTGTTTTTTAAAAATATATATTTTTATTGATTTTTTTAGAGAGAGAGGAAGGGAGAGAGAGAAACATCGATGTGAGAGAGATATATCGACTGGTTGCCTCTCTCACGACCCTGACCAAGGCTGGGGACTGAACCCACAACCCAATTTACGTGCCCTTGACCGGGAATCAAACCCGAAACCCTTCAGTCCACAGGATGAGGCTCCAACCACTGAGTCAAACCAGCCAGGGCCTGCCTGACTTTTATGTGGTCAGAATCATGACGGCCTCTGATAATCTAGGCTTTGTGGTTGGCTCACTGTACTGATCATCCTGAGAACAGGCACTGCCTTTTAGAGGTAATTTGATTATATTTGGTTAAGATTATATTTGGTTATGAAGACGTTCTCCTTTCTTCCTGCCTTCCAATACCTTCAGGGAAAAGGCAGTGATAGAGGCATATGGCTGACTACCATTGGAATATAAGGGGCCTTAGGTGATGGTATTAGCTCTTCAGAGGGAGCTTGTCCTACTTCATTAATGTGTGTGTGTGTGTGTGTGTGTGTGTGTGTGTGTGTGTGTGTTGGGGGTAAAGGAGAGTGAAGTGAAGGACTCAGTTGGATTCAGAATTAAGATATAAAAATCTAGATACACAAATCTCAGAACAATGATCTTGGTGTTGCATTTTGCCCTTGTATAGGACACCTTCATTGATGCTGCAATTCCCCAAAGGATATATAGCCAATCAGTTTCCCTTTCAAGAATGTTTGGAGTTGAGTGAGTTTTCCTTCCAGTATAAAAGTGAACCTTAGGAAGAAAATCTTCACATGAAGATGACAACTGTGGATATTGTTGTCTGTTTCCTTCCAGCTTGTTTTAAAACAGAGGTTTTCTTTGTTTCCACTACACAGCTGGAATCGCACTTTACAAAATATTGTGTTTTTTTCACTTAATAATTTAATTATCTTCTGTATTACTATGCACTCTTCATGAACATAGTATTTAATGGCTGCCTGTACCCTAGCATTCATTTATGATTGGACATTTAGGTTGTTTACATGTTTTAGTTACTATAAATAGCTTGTTCATTTGAAATAATAACCACAAAAACAACCTTACTGCACATTACAGATAAACTGCTACATAAAATGTTATTATTACAATATTAATAAGAATTAGAATGATTGGGGTAAATGATCTTTAAAATGAGTTTTATTTGTTTTTTTAAATGTTTTTATTGATTTTTTTGAGAGAGAGGAAGGGAGAGGGAAATAGAAACATCATTGTGAGAGAGAAACATCAATCAGCTGCCTCTTGCACCCCCAAAACGCGGACATGTGCCCTGACCAGGAATTGAACTGGGACCTCCATCCATGGGCTGGTACTCAATCCACTGAGCCACACCAGCTGAGTGACAAAGTGCTTTTTTTTTTTATCTTCACCCGAGGACATTTTTTCGTTTTATGTTCAGATAGAATGGGAGGGAGAGAGAGGAAGAGAGAGAGAGAGAGAAACATTGATGTGAAAGGGACACATCGAGTGGCTGCCACTCCCACGACCCAACCAGGGCCGGGGACAAACTGCAACTGAGGTACATGCCCTTAGCAGGAACCAAACCCGGGTCTCTCTGGACTGCAGGTCGACGCTTTAACCGCTGAGCCAAACCAGCCAGGGCCTTTAAAATGAATTTTAAAAACAATCCTAAACAGATACTTTTTAAAGGTGATATGCCCACACTTGTCACTACAAAGATGAGGATATGCTGTTTCTGTTTCTTTTTAAATTAATTAATTAATTTATTTTTGTTACAGATCTTTCTCCTTTTCCCCCCAATGACACCCTCCTCTCTGTTCCCGTCCCCTCCCCCACTTTCACAGTATTGTTGTCTGTGTCCATTGGTTATGCATAAAGCATATTGGTTTATCTCTACCCACCCTCCCACCCCTTCTCTCTCTCAGGTTTGTCAGTCTGTTCCCTACTTCTATGTCTCTGGGTCTATTTTGTTCATCAGCTTATTTTGTTCTTTATATTCCACAAATAAGTGAGATCATGTGATATTGGTTTTGCTGTAATTGGTTTATTTCGCTTAGCATAATACTCTCCAGGTCTCTCCATGTCATCGCAAAGGGTAAGAGATCTTTCTTTCTTACAGCTGCATAGTACTCCATTGTGTAAATGTACAGTAGATGGACATGGGTTGTTTCCAGATCTTAACTATTGTAAATAATGCTGCTATGAATATAAAGATGCATATATTCTTCCTGACTGGTGTTTCATGCTCCTTAAGATATAATCCTAGCCTTGGCCGGTTTGGTTCAGTGGTTAGAGCATCGGTCTGCAGATTGATTGGGGTCAAGGGCATATATCTCGGTTGCGGTTCAGTCCCCGGCCCTGGTTGGGGTTGTGCGGGAGGCAACCAATCAATGTTTCTCTCTCTCTCCCCCACTTCCCTCCATCTGAAAATAAATAGAAATATCCTCGGGTGAGGATTCAAAAAAAAAGAAGAAGAAGATATAATCCTAGAAGTGGTATCACTGGGTCAAATGGCAGTTCAATTTTTAATTTTTTGAGATAACTCCATATTATTTTCCACAGTGGCTGCACCAGTCTGCATTCCCACCAGCAGTGTACTAGAGTCCCCTTTTCTCCACAGAGGATATACTCTTTCTTTGGTTTACCTGACACAGCCTGAAAGGTATCAAAGGATAACTTTGTCCATCCTGTCCTCCCTCTCATTTTAGGCTCCTCTTGAGCCTCTGCCACTATAGATGAGAAACCTGCCTGAGGAGGTAGGACTGAGTCACCCACAAAAGTCATCCTATAAAAGAGGCATGTTCTAATCCATGTGCTAACCTAAGAATGAAAGGCCAAAGTGAGAGGCAGCAAACATTTATTTGAGATTTAAAAAAAGTATAGCTATTTGGGACACTGATGCCAGCAGAAACCCAAATAGTGTTCTGATTAGGAGACAAAGACAATGGGTACCTATGAGGAATGGAAGGGGAAC